GAGAGAGAGAGAGAGAGAGAGAGAGAGAGAGAGAGAGAGAGAGAGAGAGAGAGAGATGCTGCTAAGATCACTGGCCGTCACCATCTCATTTAAATAAAATTACTACACCATCGTTACTCACATCAATATTGTCAAGAGTGTTAATTTGGTCATAAAGGTGCACATTGATTGGAAAATGAATTTTTTATTACTGTTTATTATTATGATTAATGGCTGCTAGTTGAGGTAGTCATTAAATGAGGAGTATACAGCTTCTGTATAAACTATATTAAAAAGTATTTGCATTTATCTGATTTTATCAAAATAATTATAGCCAAATCAAATCAAAGATGAGCAACAGTTGGGGTTTCAACCAAAGAGGGTTTTGATTGGATTCTGAATTAACATAATATCATTTTATCTCAAATCTAGTATACCTTTAATAAGGCCGCCACTGTCTCCTGGTTAGCGTTTCGAACATCTTCATCATTCACCATTAATATCTGGTCTCCTTGCATTAATCTTCCATCCAGATCTGCTAAACCTCCTTTGACAATGTCTGACACAAACACTCCAGTGTCATTTCTACAAATGCAATATTCATGTGTGTTATTTATTTGGACTCTTCTATACCGTCCTATCATATGTCTGAGTTGATCTACAAAGAGTGCAGAACTGTATAGATTTAATTCTTAAGCTCTATTATTTGTAAACATAAACACTAATTCACTGTTTTAATCATTCTTAGAACATTCATAAGAGGTTTATAATCATATGAAATACAATAAAATACTAATAATCTGCTTTATTTAATATTAATTTAAATTTTTTTTACATTTGTGACTGCTAATTTTTGGGTCTCTGCCATGCATGCGGGTGGGGCAGGGGTCACACGTGCATGCATGGGGGGCATGAAGTGGCATGCTCATGCACAGGGGCACATGGGAGTGCTCCCCCTGCGGCCTGTTTTTGGTCCTAGGAGGCTGCAGGGAGGCCTACTAGGCCCAAAACGGGGCGCATGGGGGTCGCACGTGCATGCACGGGGGGAGCGGGTCACATGGGGGAGTCACATGCACAGGGGGGGGCGGGAGTATCTCACACACATTGCATTATGGGTGCGCACATGCACTGTTGTGCATACGCATGAGCGCTTTTGGCACACGATAACAAAAAGGTTAGCCATCACTGACCTAGAACAATCCAAATATTTTGGGTATCAGTTCTCTTAGTCTATGACCCAACCAGAATTGTTTGACTGACTCTTTAAGCCTCAGTGTGCCTGTTTCATGCACATAATAACACATATTTCCTGATTTGTAAACACACCTAGCAAATAAATCCCCTAATAAGCTGTTTTATTGGGTTGACCTGAATTTTTTTTTATATACAGAAGGTAACTGAGAATTAAGCAGGAAGCCAAGAGTATACTGAAAATAAAACCCAACTTGTACTATTTGGTTACATTGCCTTTTCTTAGAAACCCTGTTTCTGGCAAAAATTATATTCAGTATGAGTTTCATTAGAGCCTCTCTGTACCTACCTTTTCCCAACAATACTTAATCCAAGTCCTTTGCCTGGTTTCTTTTGTAATTCGATATTCAGAACATCATACATGTCTTCTTCTTTATATTGGGCTTCATCCCTGTAAACAGTCAGGCGGACTTTTTGTGGTGTCTGTCTGAGAACATTTATAGCTTCATCATGGGTTGCATTCCTTAAGTCAATACCATTCACCTAAAATGAACGGACAATGAAAGCTGAATACATTCGCTTACTACAAAAATAACATAGATTTCCACAACTGCCTTTCTCTTCCTGTCATTTCTATGTCCTACACAGAAGGATTCCATAAGTTGTATAATGTTTAATACTTTACCTCTAAGATTTGATCACCGGCCCAAAGTCTTCCATCTTTGGATGCTGCTCCTTCTTCATATACTTCGTGGATAATAATTGCTCCCTGTAGATTTGAAAGATTCTATCACTGAGTTGTTAGACTTCTTTACCATGTATTGCAACTATCTTAGCATAAAGAAAAGTTTGAATGTAGGAAAATACACACACTCACATTAAGATTCAGAAGCCTCTATGCAAATGTATTTTTAAATAAGTTTCTGATGCTATAGTGCAGTGGTATTCAATCTGTTCCCTACCGCCCACTAGTGGGCGTTTCAGCTTTCATGGTGGGTTGTAGGGGTTTGCTGTAACTCTGCTTTATAAATTTTATAAAGTAAAGTTACTTCCCTACTTTATAAATTATAAATTTTATAAAGTAAA